ATTTTATTTTTGTAGCTCTTAAAATCCTACTTTAATAAGCAGACTTTTGATGCCATTAATAGAAGTCTACCCGAAAGAACTAAATTCTAGTATATACAATAAATATTATTTTTGTGCACTACGGAGTCTTTCTAATGTAATTATATTTTTCTTCTGTCAACAACAAAATATTTAATCAATTTGTATATATCGAACTAATAAAAAGATCGTATCAATTATTGAAATATTCTTGATTTAGGATTGCCTATATTTAATGTGCCTAACGATCTTCATAAGCAGGCTTATATGCGTGATTTAATCAAAGTTCATATGAGCGAACGAGACTATATATTTGTTATTGAGCTAATTTCATAAAATATTTATAGAATACAAAAAAAAAGAGAGACAGAAAAACTTCTATATATTTTTTTTAGATTACTAAAAAAACAAAACTCTAGCAATACACAAATATATCCTCAACATAAGGTTAGTTTAGAATTTATTTTCTAAATAAAATTCAAATTATTTCTTTTTTCTTATTAAAGATTTTTATAAATTATCATGTTTTATAAACATTGTTGTCATCTTATTTTGATTTTTATTCTTCTAAACCTTTACTGTTACACATGTACTCCTGTTGTATCAACTGATGAAATACAAGAAGATGAAATACCATTTTTACCACATGATATTCAAGATGAATTCGAAATGAAAGAAGAATTAGAAGTAAAAGAACCAGTTGATCCCGAAACAGACATAACTGAGGAAAAACCTCCATCGAATGAATTAAATGAAGCTTATTATTTGAGAATATTATGTGCTTTATATGGCAGTTGTACTGATGATGACGAGCAAATTGCTGATTATGATGAAAAAAACAAACGTCTATCAGCTCGTCTCTTTCATGGCATTCCAAAATTTGGTAAACGTGCATCTGCATTTGCTGGAATACCGAAATTTGGTTAAATTAAATGATTGTTCATTTTTTGAATATAGAAATAAAAAGGATTACTTATATAAATATATACATAGAATACTATTTCAGTTATATAAATTTATGTTTTAGACAAATATATATATTTTTTCTTTCGATACTATTAAATGAATTTATACAATGTTATAAAATTTTAAATATTATATTTTATGACAATTATGATAAGTCGTAATATATAAAAAAAATTCCTCATTGTTCTGTCACATTATAGAATGTGACATAGTGTTCATAGGAATATGACTGAATAGTAGAATGATAATAACGAGATGAAAATTAGATTCATTATTTGAACTTAAAACTCATCATCTCTAGTTAGATATATGATAAATAGATGTAAATAATTCTCATATAAAATAGTGAAATGTACTTATACAATAAACGAAAAATACTATACAGGCGTCATTCAGTTGAATATTAGTTTGAGATGTAACTGTATGTTATATCGTAGGTGTTATAACAAAGTAAAGAATGTTAAAATGATGCACAGAAGATTGTGGAACAAAAGAAAAGTGAAGAGATAGGTGATGAATGATACCAACTAGAAAGACAAATAATAATGAAGGAGTGACTAATAAGACGAAAAATGATAGGAGAAAATCCAACGAAATTAAATATAACCAGGTCAAAAAATCTGACGTTAGATCTTGCAAAGTCTTGTAACATGAACAAAATCTTAAAAAAATCGTGGTTCCTGAAATCTTGTATCAACTCATATCACATTTTTCTTGAAAGACCTGACGCGCACTATATTTTTCAGTGCAAATTTAAAGTGATATTTTCAGAAGATATTAGTTTTAATGAAATATTTTGGTGACATTCTACCGCATAACAGAATCTTACAAGAATTTTTCAGTGCAAGAAATCAGGAATCACGACTTTTCGTAGGATCCTTGTCTGATTTCATCAGATCAGACATACGATTCTTACAAGATCTTGCTATCTCATTGTTCGGCCTGGGTATATGTAACGATACAGGTGATGACTAGGACTATCGCAACTTCTTCTGTTTTGATTGGTCATCATTTTCTATGACATAGCTGATTATTTCTTTTGTTCAGTAACCATCATATGCTTTTTTTTCTGAATGTCCTTTTTAGATAACTTCATTACATAGATTAATGTTAAAACTATTTAGTACATCATATTAAGAGAAGATTGTTAAGCAAAAATGAATATTATTCTAATAGAACATACATACTTGACTTATATCTTATAAGAGATATCAACAATGATATTATATTGATAGAATATGTTTAATTAGAATAAATAACACATTTTGAAATTTTGTTCAGAAAAAAAAGCACCAAACTTTCTTGATCATCATTCATTGTTCGAATATTTCAAAGCTTATTAGTTTCTTTTTACTCATAACATATATATACCCGACAATCATTAAATAATGATCTCATGTATATTTTGTTGTTATACAAAAAATAGAAGAAGAAGCAAAGAAGAAGAAAAACAGAAGAACAAAACAAGCAAAACTGTACAGAAGAAGAGATAAGAACAAAAATGCATATCTGACATAAGACTCTCAAATAAAGAAAAGAAAAAAAAAACCATATTTATCTATTATTAAAAATTAATTCATACACCAAAATTCGTTTGTCCAATCCATGAATTATCATTTGTTGCAAATAAAGATTGACTTTCATGTTTTACTTTCGAAAAAAGTGTTGAATGACCTTGATAATAATGTGATTGATGTTGTTGTTGTTGATGTGGTTGTTGTTGTTGTTGTTGCTGATGATGATGATGATGATAATCAAATTGTGATGTTAGTTGTTTAATAGGTGGTGATGGAGCATAGTAATTATTATAGAAATGATGATGAGGATTTGATGTTTCATATGAAAATAATAAATTATCAGGTGTACAACCATTTGTATAATTTGTCGAAGATACTGGCATTGTTTGTGGCAATGGCGGTGGTGGTGGTGATAAATCAATATTTGATTGTTGATGATGTTCAGACGAACAAGCAGCTGCTTCAGATATTGTTGGAGAAGTTCGTCCTAAGAAAAAAAAATTAAAATTGATTAAATTAGATAAAATAAAAATAAGACATACGACTATTTTTATTAAGAAGTGTAACATCAATTGTTTTGGGTGATTTATCTTTTTTCGATTTACGTTTACGAGTTTGAATACCATCCTTTTTTAATGTCAGTGGTCGATTAACCTATGAAAAAAAAACAAACGGCAAATATTAATATTAACAAAAAAACATCGAAGAAAAAACAAAAATTACCCCATGTAATTTATAATAAAGACCGCAAGCATTACAAACACTTTCTCCACTTGCATTACGTCTCCATAAAGTTGTATCTGTTGTACCACAATTAGCACATTGATTACCTGAACGATGGAGAACACCCTGGAATAAATAAATAAATACATATTAAATAAACGAATTTCATTCTTTCATAAATACGTACACTCTTTCGAATAGTTCGGTCATTCGGATTATTTCCAGTAGTATATATTGTTGAATTTGTTGGAATTTTATGAGTACGAGATGAATAAATGCCACATTTATTACATAAATTAAAGCCACTACCATCTTTACTCCAACGTGTATTTTGTGGTGATGCTGCTGCACCACAATTAACACATTCTCGTGGTTCATCATATGGATAACAATAAGCTAAACAAAAAAAGTAATGAAATTAATTTGATATGAAAAGAAAATTTTTATTTATTTACGATTATAATTATTAGATGGATCATTTAGTTTATTTGTTGCTGCTTGTGCAAGTAAAAGTGAATTCATTTTTGTTGAATAACAATTCATATAAAGATCATCGGCATAACGTGACACAGCCATTGCTGCAACTGAATAAGGTTCAGGAGAAAATAAATCAGTATTAGCCAATGGATGTGTACCGTTGCTTGTACTAACTGGTATGGCTATAGATGATGAAGATGTCGATGGTATTGGCCAGACAGGTGATGAATGATTACTTTCAATTGTTGATCCATCTTGACCATTATTATTATTATTATTATTAGTTGTAGTTGCTGTTGTATTTAATGAAAATGTTGAAGATGAACCATCTTCTGTATGATTTCCATAAATTTGAGGATGCATGTTAAAATCTAGAATATATTTTTTTGTTTCAATTTTTTGTTCATTCATTCATTCATTCCACTTTCAACATATCTCAATTGTATTGTATGAATAGCCTTCAGGGTTCAAAATATGATTGCAACAGACTAGTATTACTAGTGGTGACTGATAAGAAGGGAGGTCATTCAATATGAATTGGCACATGGCCGAATGTCAGCATTCAAACTGATAAGACCAATACAAAAAAAAATGGTTAACTACGAATATCGATTAGGCCGTCAAAACATGGACAGAAGACAAAAAAAAAAGAAAAGAGCCTTCTCATATGACCTTAGACATCCATTGACATTTATGTTTGATATAGAAAAAAAAAACAAGACCGATTACCTTGATGGTAGAAATGATGAAGTAGTTCGTTGTCCAATCGATAGTTCTTTCTTTTCTTTTCTTTCTTGTATTTTTTTTATCGAAAAAAAAAATACGATGATTTGTGTTATCACGATGGTACCAATACTGTCGATATTAGAAGATAAAGATCTGCCTCGACCTCTCAGCAGTATGTCGAGCCGTTATCTTCGAATGACTATATGTTAGTAGTAGTGTATATGGTAAGAAAAAGAAAAAAAACTGTACAAGTGTACGATACATAGAAGAAGAAAACCGAGAGAGAGAGAGAAAATTAATCGACATATATCAACCAATAGGCCATTTATTTTCTTGTCTCGTTATTCTATTGGTTAAGAAAGAATCAGAAAAAAAGACGACGTTGAGATCTATCATTATGTTTGTCTATACATGCATACGCTGCTTTCAAGAAAGATCAAATAGAAATGATGCGCATTTGTGCTGCATGTGAGAAAAAAGGCAATAACGGGGGCAATAGTGAAGGTGCTAGTGGAAAACGAATAAACTGGAATGGAGAAAATAGATAAGAACAAACGAAGAGTCTAGAATCTACACATGCATGTGCACACACACACATACACACAATCAGTGTATGTGTGTTTTGAGACAAAACGACGATGTGCCTCTCGGGCGCTATGCTCGAGCGAAAACGGACTAAGAAAGTGCGCTGATAGGTAGAAGTGAGTATATTATATACGTATCTAAAACTCTTTAGGGATGTAATAAAATTGTTTTTCTCTTTTATTTATTAAAATTTATAAATAAAAGTTTTTTACGCCTAATGACACATACATAATATAAAATCATGCAATAAGCAGTTCAAGAAATGTATCTTCAGATCAGATAATTACAAAATTTATTTTAACACAATGATAATGTAAAAAAAAGAAAATTGTTCTATAGGCGGAAAGAGCAAAAGCTCTTGTATTACTATCGATTATTATATACAATTTTGTCACCATCAAGTCTTCAAAGAATCAATTCAGTCATTTCGATATATATTTTAGTGTAATGATTATTTATAATAGAAAGCATTTTTTTTGCTTGGTTGTTTCCAAGAATCACATTTCACACACATATAAGTGTTGATGGTCGGTCACAGCATGAGTTCTCTACATTAATATCATACCTGTGATGATCACTTTTTTTTGCTTCTTACTTCGATGACGATGAGACAGAGTATAGAGTGACGATCAAAAGATGAACATGGTGACATGGGTAATTATATATATAGACATATACGGTTAAGATATGATATGAAGTTCGTTCGTTTGTTGTTCAAATGGATTTTATTTCGGCACGTGTTATTTTAAGAATAAATTGGCTTAAACCAAGTCTAATATTCTTACTTTTTGTATTCCAATCATCGATACATCACCAATCCAGATGTTAAATCGTTTTAAAAAAATATATACATATACGTATAATGATTTTTGCTTTTTATATTTCGTTATACATAATGCGATAAGCATGAATATGAGCAAGTGTCGAGAGAATGAGAGTAATGAACGACAACGATTGATTTCTGTCTGATACATACGGGAATAGACATAAGGCAAAACCTACGCACACTTGTTGTATTTTCTTTTTTGCCTTCATTTTCTATATACCCATCATCATTGCTACTTAATTGACAGTATAATGACTTTTCAACAACATGCGGAGGCCATGAATGAGAGACATATAGAATTCATAAAGTTTATCTATGCATACGGAGAAGATTTTTCTTGTATTTTAACAGAAAAAGAAAAGAAGTAATTGATTAAAATATTGTTTGTTATTATTTGAAAGTGTATAATACTGATTTTTATCGATAATTCGATGCTTTTCATTTGTTTATTTAAAAAAGGATATTAAAAAAACAAAATATCAACATATCTGTAATTATTTTAAATGGAAAAAAAGGAAGAAGAAGAATTTAAATAAGTTTTCTTATCATACAAATGATTTGCTTGGTAAACAATACATTGAGCAATCAAAGTTGTTGTTATTCTTGCCGTTCTCATATATATATATATATGTGAGTGTCTAAAGATCATACATATTGCTCTTCTAATAAAGCGCTTATACACTTGCGCTAAGAATGTACATAGACAAACGACGGGAAAAAGAAGAAAAAAAAATGATAGATAAGATAACGAAGAGACGCGTCAAGATGGGATGTAGACGGATATGAAACAAATAAGAGCAGGGGAAATAATTGCATATGTTAGGTTTTACATAGGCAAAAAATATCTCCTATCAAATAAATTTAATAAGGATTCATTTTTATTTTGTTTCTTTCGTTATATTTATAAAACAGCTTAAGGGGCATTTCTTCTTTTTTTTTCGAACATTTGATATTGCAATCAACTCGTCAATATTAATGTTAATGATGATTCCTTAAATGGATATATTATGTGCATAGAACGATGATAAATTGAAATTCATTTCTTATCACCCATCAAACTTATTCAATATGGACATCGTAGTACTCCACCTTATATACATATACTTGCAATTCAATACTCCCTACTGTCCATCATCATGATGAACAGCAGCCTCGATTACTCATTATGCCATCTTAATATTAGATCATTTAGGACGAAGGCAATGTTCCAGTTCAACTACCATCATATTGAATCAGTAGAATTGATGTCAGAGGACAGACGACTTAACTTTCGATAGTTCTCTTCATTTGATAGTTTATATATAAATATAAAGATAGGTTTACTTGTCGTCCAAAAACTGAATCTGATTGATTATGACAATCAAAATGAATGCTATTATGACCAAGACGAAAGATAATCATGAAATAAAAGGTGTGAAAACAAAATGAGAACAGCATGGTACTATAAACGTAATGGCAAGAATTTTTCTATATAACTGAAAATTTTAAATGATAAATTAAGATATATTCTAGTCTTTGAGAACAGCTATTTGATATCAAAATTAACCTTTCTAATTCATGAACCTGAGCATATACGAAATATCTAATCTGTTATAGAATTCAACATGTTGTAATCATTAAATTAAAGCATTTCTTTTTTTTTATAGAATTTTGAAGTAATTACAAGATTATTCATAATAGACTAAAATTTTATTCACATAAAAACTTTTTTAGGAAGATCAATTAATTTGTTTTATTGTTTCTTATAAAGTATTTTAATATTATACTGAATATTGAACTTTTATGATTAGCATCTATCTCGAAATAGATAAATTTTTAATTCAATGATTTCAAGTAGTATGTTTTGTACTAATTTAATTATAAATTTATACTTATTACAAACCATGTTATATATTGAAAATTGAATCTACAAATGTTAAACAGCATGTCAATAAACAGGGGATTACGAGATTAATAACTATTGTCTTTAAAAAAAGTAATCTTTTAATAGATTCTGTCTTCTTTACTTTCGTCTAACTACGAATGCTAAATTTCAATCATAGGTTTTTAACTATCTTATACATTATGCTTTAAGTGATTTTTACCCATCGTTTAAAACTAAAATATCTATATATAATATAAGGAGGGAACCGAAGCGTCTGTTGAATTTTAGTGAGTAAAAAAGAAATGCTTAGAATTTAACCCCTTCAGGACGATGGTACAACGTATGTACCACCTACCCTGGAGGGGGTCCAGGCTTTTTTAAAAAAAAAGTTTTTTTTGGTGAGCCGCGGTCAAAAAGATAGTTTAAGAATAATACACTGATCGTGAAATAGATAAAAAGAAAAACTAGTCCTGAAAGGGTTTTAATATATATTAATAAATTCACTTTTTACCATTTATGAAGAAATATTATGTTAGTAATTCTCATTATTATCTGTCTATATTGTTTTCCGACTCGATCAAGATAAGACAAATAGATTTTGGATCTCGATAGATACTCATAAGATTTGACCGATTATAATATCAATTCAATGAAAGATTATCCTAATTTAATAAAAATCATTCTTCTATGTTATATCGCTAAATATTCTTCCCCAGAAAAATTTATCGACTAAAAATAGTATTTAATTCATACATGCATTACATATTAATACGACTAGATCATTAAGTAGTAATCGTGTCATACATATTCTACTATCTCAAAACAAAAATATCATTTTAAATCACAATTGAAAATATTCGTTTTGTCCAAATCATAATTTTGTTATATACAAATGCTTTCATATCTAAACATTGAGTTTTAACCACACATATTATTTAACGAACAAGTATAAATTATTTTTTCGAACAAAAAAAAAAGAATGAACAAAAGAAGAAAAAAAAACAGAATCATCAACGCATCACAAAGAGCTCACTTTAAACCTGTCCTAGTATGTGGGATTTTTTTTATACACACAAGAGACACATACATATTCAGAAGAAAAAAGGAGCAGCAAATGATGACTATCTGATCTTATCACGGTTGGGAGTCAGTAGTAGCAGTTGTAGTTGTTATTATTGGTACTACAGTGGAATGATGTTCATCACCATTAGCAACATTATTTGTTATTGATGAACCTGTAGATGAAAGTGGTGATGCTACAATTTCTCTAGCACATAGTTCAGCATCAAAAACAACAGGTGTCATATCGGATTGTTGCTGTTGCTGTTGTTGTTGTTGATGATATTGAACAACAGTCGGTTGGTGAGATGAAAAACGATGATGTTGTTCAAGTGGCGTTGCATATGGATGATGTCGATGATGACTTAAATGAGAATGATGATGTTGAGGAAATAAGTCATTTCGTCCTGAATTATATTCATGATGATAATTTCCTTGTCTTCCAATATCTAGATTTAAATAAGACATTTTATTATTTTGAAATAAATAATTAATTATTTACGTGTTGCTGATAAACCATAATCGAGTGATGGTTCAGATGCACATGGTGCAGGTTCTGTACCTGATGTTGTTGATGTTATATGTTTATTATGTTTAGATTTTGAATTTGAATTAGCACCGGACCCATTTCCATTATTATTTTTTTGTTTTCGTCGACGAGTTTGAATACCAGGTTTCACCATATTCATTGGACGAGCAATCTAATAAGAATAATTATTTATATTTATTAAGCAATAAATTCAAATTACTTGATGTAATTTATAATATAAACCACATGCATTACAAACAGGTTCACCTTCACTATTCCGTCTCCATAATGTTGTATTTTGTGTTTGACAATTAGCACACTGTAAACCAGAACGACGTGCACCTGATAATACCTAAATAAATAAATAAATAAATAAATAATTTCAAAAGGAAAATTATCAATATAAATCATACTGGTTTATGAGCTGCATTAACTAATGAATTGTTAGCTGACGAAGCAGTTTCATCCTAGAGTAAGAAATAAAAAGAAAATTTATTTGTAAATAATTTTTATATATATATATACAGATTGTGTTCGATGAAATGATGGCAATTGTGATTGAGAATTATTTGTATCATTACCATTATTTGTATTTGATTTCATTGTTGCATAAGGTGAATAATGTAAATCAGAATTTCCAAGTGCAAGTGAAGATAAAGCTTTCGATGAATTATTTCGACGTGATGATTGTGTTGTTGATTGATGGTAAGTTTGGTTTTGATGAATAGAATGATGATGAGAATATGGATTTGTTAATGATGATACATTTGGTAAACAAACTGAATCGGTTACTGGAAGACTAGCTTCAATAACTGACGTTCGAGGACGATCTTCATCTTCCTATAAATATATATATAATGATAATATTTTCTATAATAAAAAAAATTATTTTATACCAGACGTCTTGGTAATCGTTGTAATGGTCGATTTGATCCATTTATTTTATGAAATAAACCACAAGCATTGCACAAATAATGACCTGTACCATCACGACGCCATAATGGTGTTGATATAGCTCCACAATTAACACATTCTCGACCATCAGTTGTATCATAATATCCATCTAAAAGATAAATATATTCATTATTTGTTCATTTCTATCATTGAGAAAAATAAAAACACTAACCTATACATTGAATATATGAACCAACAGTAGAATTATCACTCCAAAATGGTATTTGATCAGTATTATTAGTTAATTGTGATTGTTGAAGAAATGATAAATCATTTAAATTTGTTGCTGATGATGGTGCATATGCTGTTGGTAAACCATAATAATGTTGAGGTTCAGTTGATGTCCATCCTTGATTAACACCATTATCATAGACAGTACTATTTGGTGATGTCGATGTACGACGTGTACTTGTACTTGCTACATATCGATTTACATCATCGAAAGATGAATGACGATATTCAGATTGGGATTGTGAAGTATGATGTAATGTAAAACGAGGTGGTGAAATCGATTGTTGTTGTTGTTGCTGCTGTTGTTGTTGTTGTTGTTGAAGATGATTACTTGGTGTTGGAGGAGAATAAAGTTCTATAAAAATAAAAATAATTATATTTTTTTTAATAAGATATATTTTTACGTTGTTGTAAATGAGAATAGTTTTGTGAATGATGATGTTGTTGAAGATGGTCAACTCCATTAACTAGCTCATCTCCATAATATGCTACTGAATCAGCATAAGATAATTGACCCTGTTGCTGAAATTGATTATTAAAGGAAGACGATTCTTAAATGAATGCAAAAAAAAACAAAATAAGATTTTATTTGTATTTATTTTTATTGAAAATTTACCATTTGTTGATGAATACTGTTCTTGTTGTAAATCATTTGAAGAAACAGTATTTATATTTGTTACTGTTGTTGGTGTTGTCGATGACGGTTGTTCCGAATGAATTGTTACTTGCTGTTGTTGTTCATTTTGTAGTGAAGAATTTCTTGGCGACGTTCGACTATTTATTGAAGATGATGTTGTACCACTTGCATGTGAAAGACTACTATTTTCTTCATCATCTCCATTTTCATTTTTAACATTTGAATTAGACAATGTTTTTCCATCAATAGGTGCCCAAACAGATGACATGTTGATATAACGACGATGTCACTAAAGATAACAAGTAAGAATAGGAACGATTATCCTTAAAAAAAAAAACGTCTTCTTATGTTTGTCGTTTTTTTTTCTCTTCCCTATTCTTCTTCTTCTTCTTCTTCTCTTTTCTTCTGAAATGTCATTGGCTGTGGTGACATTTTTTTTCTAATTGGTCTAAAGAGACTTACCATTTAACGAAAGAAAAGAAAGAAACATGTTCGATAGGTTTTTCTAAAAACTTAGTTGTTTGAGTTAAATTTAGTATAGACATTGAATAGAAATGTTTTCTTTTATGTTAATAATGATCATGTTCGTGTTGAATGATAAGCTCTCTTTTGATAAGACCCTTGTTTCTCTCTCGTTCTTTCGACGATTTTTCTTTATTTCACTCTTCCTGCGTCTGCTGCTCCCATTCCAAGCGGGGGCTACAAAACTTTGATAAAAATTATCGCTTGTCTGTGGTTGTAAAACGACACTCATCACAACGAGGGAGAGAAAAAAAGATAGAGCTGCATTTCACTCACATTCACTTTCAAAAAGAGCAGCAGCAGACAAGACGTACGGCAATCATGATAGAGGTGAGAACATGCAACAAATAGATTTAACTCTTTATGATTTTTGATTTCGACTTTTCTTCTCAGCTACGCTTATCTGTTACGGATACTAATCATTTTATATATGTTACCTTTTTAGAAATGATGATCTTCGTTTACTCGACGCGTATTGGCTAAAAAAAAAATTTTTTCTCAAGTGCTTATATGTGTGTAGTAGTGTTGTGTGCGTTCAAGTTAAATAAAAACTCGGAGTGGGGCGGCAAAGTATGATTTTTCTCTCCGTTCCTCTCCTTTCTTCTCTCTTCTTCTTCTTCGTATTCTCCAACTGCTGCTTGTTGCCGTCATCGTCGACGTTGCTCTTCTCTTCTTTTTTTCGCTCTCTACTCACAAACATAAGCGCTTCTTTCAAATAAGTCAGCGCCCATATAGCCACCACTTATAATTGTTTGGAAGTGAAATATGCGCACATGCACGGCGTGTTCTATATATATGTGTGTGTGCTTTCTCTCTCTATGAAAGTCTTCTTTTTTTTTCTTTTTTTTTGCTTTGTTAAAATTAGATTTTCAAGGAGGTTGACTCTCGAAAACAGCTCGACAGGTGCATTTGTCTACATACGCGTGTGAATGTAACTAAATCCGTGATGGATGATCATGATTTTATGGTTTAATGACAATGGAAATTGCCTTTTTTCTCTCTATCTCTCATACACATATATACATACTCTCTCTCGTATTGCCTCTTCTTACGAGATGATGAGGTGCGAAGGATCGGATTTAAAAAATCAACATACTTGCCGAAGAAAAAAAAAGTGTACACATTAAAGTATTGATTGTTCTTCTTAGTCTTTCAATTACTCTCTTATTTATAAATCAATTCAAGTTGAAATTTATGGCCAATTTCTTTTTTTCTAGCTACAGCAGCTAGGTCAATATGTTATCTCTACTGACCTCGTTTGTCTCCGTCATTTGAAATATAGTAAAAAAATGTACATTTATGTATAAAAAAAACTTTATTTGCTGCATGCGACTAAATACTACCAAATAACCAATGATTATTACTTCTTCTTCTTCTTCTTTTTTTTTACATAAAAGAAAAGAAAAATGTGTATAGCATAAAAAAAAACCCATTGCTTTTTTTTGCTGTTATCAGTAAGAGCAAATAGAAACGACACATACCTCTGTCTTTCTCTCTCTCTCTCTCTTCTCGTATGTGTGCGCGCTCTTCTCTTTTTAGATGCGTACTTTGACTTGCTTTTTATGAAGTCACAACGAAGAGCAAATATTGAAAAGAGTGCACAACCAGTCAAGAGTAGAGTAAATAAAGCAAGAGAGATAACGAAGGAGAGCTTAAACATATACACAAAGTAACACACCGGTTCTTATTCGTTTTTTTTCTCTCTCTTCTTCTTCTTCTCCTCTCTTAACTATTTATGGACGATCAATAATCTTTCTAACTAAAGCATTGTGTTATAAATTTGTCGATGATGATCGATTGATTCTCATGTCGAAAAGAATGTATAAACAAAACATCCAAAAAAAAAAGAAACTGTTATAATCAAAAAAAAATAAAGCATCTATGAACAATGAAATGGTCCATTACACGAACTACTCACCGATTATAATAGTAGACAGTCCACTGACATCGTCTTTGTGTCTGATCATAGCTCATCGCTTTTTTTTCTCGTCGAGGTGTTTTGCCAATGAATATCATGCACATGTATTAATATGTGCCTGGACTGAAATAGATTGAAATTGGATATCTATCATCAGTTATTTTTTCTTTTTCTTTTTACCAAGCCAGATGATCGAACTAATATAGATATCAAGGTCAGAACAGTTCAGTTATAGGTGTAAAGAAAAATAAACCTGGATGGATGGTACAATTGTATGTTCAGACTAGTTGGACAGATATATTTCTTAGTGTCTTTTATTTTAGTATTTGAATACATACCGAATAAGAGTGTGCAACCGACTGACTGACTGACTGACTGGCACGGCGGCCATACTCTTATTATCTAAATTGTTATTTGGATAAGATAACTCAATTGTACGAGAGAAGGTTGCGCATTTTTGTTTCTTCCATTCCCTTTTACTCTCTTTTTTCCTATATTGTTCGATAGACTTGCAATGAGGCATATCATAAAAAATAGCACGTTTTAATACGTGCATCGTTTCCTCAATATCCTTTTTTCTTGTTTTTGAATATTAAAAAAAATAATAATCATCTAACAAATACACAGATATATATATAAGTTTAAAGAGTATAGTAATATATTTATTAAATCAAAAAGAATGTTATTGTCTATTTTAAACCAATTTATATGATGTTCGACATGAAATTGATGGACGTGTACATATGTTCATGATGAATCGACAACCTTGGTAGAATAAATGAGTAACTTGCATGAAAATATGTTTGAGTTTCATTTGTTTTAAATACATCAAAATTAGAAAGATCATATTACTATTCACGGTTTAATATGTCGAGACGAAAATCATTTATTCATTTAAAACTAATTAAAAATATGAAACGAGTATAAAAATGATCATTTCTTTTTTATTTCAAATAAATAATATGCTCTTCAACTGTTATATTGATCATAATATAAAAATTCATAGAAAGTAATTCAAGTCAAGTTTCTTCTACGAAATAAAGTATTTCAAAAGAAAATTATTAAAACATAATCAATGTATTTTGTCGCATCAATAGAGTATCAAAAAACTGTATTGAAATAAGATTGCAAGTGTATGCAATATTCAAAGCATAAATAATAATAAACCAAGAGAAAAATCGAAAATTCACTATATCTCCGATAAAATATGTTTGTCGTTTTGCAGTGTATTAAATTGATGAAAATCAGAAGAGAAAATACAACGAAAAATGTGTTTATTTTTTATTTAGATTAAAAGTTGTACAACTAACTTCTATGGAAATTATCAAGATTCAATATAATGTACACCTATAGTCACACTAGCATATGTTTAGAAGAACAGTGACAGTTTCATTTAAGATAACGATAGTAGTAACAATCAATTGACTATCATTATTGAAGCCATGAACAACTATCGATTAAAAATCATAATTCGTATAAAAAAATAATGGTATCCTAATACTTTTATTACCATATCCAACAAGTACATTTATATAGACTTTTAGAATGCCAACGATAGTGATATACATATACGTATCATTACCGACATTAAGATATTTGATCAACAAATATCACCACTAGAAACTTGTTAGTTAGGAAAATCGATTAATTTTCAAAATTTTCATTATTGTGCTGTTAATTAAGATCATCAACAGAGATCAAATATCAGTTTAGATATAAAAAATTAGCTTATATCAGATTCTATAGTAAATTATGGCAGCATGAATCTTATTTTAAATATTGAATTTGTTAAAATTGACATCGAGAACGAAGTCATGATATCATTGATTGTTAATATGTAGATATTACTAATACTTATCGATGTTGTATTTAAAAATAAAGAAAAGTTCTCTTAATTTCATTATAATATGGTAAAATGGATAACATTTTTAATAAGATTCGTTTTATGCTGCATATCTCTAGTCTTGTACGTATATGTGATATAATAGAGTAAGCAAGAAAAATGAGAGAGAACAGGGATTGAATATATAATGTACATATATTTAAATAAAACTAACAGAATTTACATTGTAGTAGATTTTCTTAGTGGATCTTTTGAATAATGAAACACATCACCTGATATTGTTCAAGAACTAAGTCATTCTTAATTTTGTGCAGAAAAAGCTGGCATTTTACGTATATGAATAAAATGTATGTAGTAAATGTACTACATTTATGCAAAAACACAAAAAGTCGCCTTACACGCACTTCGTACAATTTCGAAAGTATTTATACTGTTAAGAAAAGTTTTTCCACTGTATATTTTTCTTTCTGTGGAATTTCTGTTTTATGCATACATACTCAAACACGTAAGAATCAAGTTTGATGATAGGATAATGCTAATGAAATTCAAAAGTAATAGTATGATGATTAATGTAGTCATCCCCGCAGTACTAATTCGTTTTGTTATAATAGTACGTTTTCTGCAAAGAAAAGATCATATCATTACTGTAAGTAGAAATAATTTAATATCTATCTGATAGATATCGTTACTCTCTGCGTTGGTTAATTGATCGAATATAAAATATGTATATATAGATATTTTATTCATTTAGTATGGGTGAATTTATAAATAGTATGAGCTATTCTTTAATTTTGGAACGGGAACAATAACTTATTCTATTGATAAAATAAGTTTTCTCTTCTCGCTCATATTGCGTTCTTAGTAAGAAGAGAGTTTCAATAAACACATTTTCGTTTTCGTAAGTTTTATTTTACTTAAAAAAAATACAGAAAGTCGCTATAATTTCTTTTTTATACGTTCGAAATTTCTTGTCCATTTTTGAAAATCGGGGTGATTTGTTGGTAATGACTGTTGTCCAATTTGTACAGCACGTTCATAAAACGAATGAGCTCTTAAATAGTTGTCCATATTCTCATATACCAAACCGATGTTGTTATAGGAAGCACCCAAATCAGGATGATTTGAATGAAGTGATTGTTGTTGAATTGCAAGGGTTTTCTAATAATAAGAAAGTGCTTTTGGATAATCACCCATCTTGACGTATGCATTACCGATGTTGCCATAGGAAGAAGCTAAGTCAGGGTGGTTAGAAGGAAGTGATTGTTGTCGAATTACACGAGCTTTTTCATGAGATGAAAGTGCCTTTTGATATTCACCCATGCTTTCATACACATTACCAATGTTGTTACAGGATGATGCCAAATCAGGATGATCGAATGGAAGTGATTGTTGTTCAATGGCAAGTGATTTTTTATTAAATATAAGTGCTTCTTGATATTCTCCTTGATTATATTTGATCAAACCTAGTTGATGATAAATAGATGCCTTGTCACTCTCATTTTTTGCTTGATAAAGTAAAACTTGATAAATTTCTTGAGCTTTAGTAAATTGACCCATTTTAATCAGTAATAATCCCAATCTGTACCATCCTTCTTCATCTGGAAAAGTCTCCTGTCGAATACGCTGAGTAAGATTACGAAGATCTTGATCGCTGTCACTGGTCAATGTTAAATTCACTTTGTAGAGATGACTATTTCGACCTATTAGTTTAATATCTCCAATACGAAAAATGGTATGCATAGAAAAGAGAACTTCGTCTTCCGTACGAAAACAACTAAGATCCGTAACAGAAGCAAATGGAGCTGTTGAATGAGTAGGAGTAATTGATATAACAAATAGAATTCCAACAAGATCAGGATTTGTAGCAGCTTGTTGGGCAAACTTCAGAGACACATTACGATTTCTACTAGTTGACAAGAAATTATTAAATGAAAGAAGTCCACCTTTAGTATTTGTCATTTCGGTGAAATCTTCTTTTGAAAGACCTTGTCCACGGTAAACTGTAAATGTTTTGCCTGACTGATCATTATTAAATTGTTCCGAATGTAGTCGCTGAATATCACGTTGTAGATCATTAATAAAGAAACCCATTCGAACAATAACATCGACATTCATTGATCGTAATGCTTTATTGAGCATACGATATAAAAATGCATCCCATGTATACCACCATATGGGTATCTTACTTTTGTATGTTATTTGTAATTCATCAACATTTTTTAGTTCATTTTCATCAGCAAATTTTTCACGACAATAAATAATAAATTCTTTAATATGTTTGTCTTCGAAATTGATTGTTAATAGGATCTCTTTCAAGATCTGAGTATACATAAATGATGGATCTAATTGATCCAACTTTTTGTTTGATGCCATAAAACTAATCGGAATGGCATTTTGCTCACATTGGTGAGCAGCTTGTTTTAGTGCTTCACAGACTGATGTTATATCTGTGAAGACTCCTTTGATTTTAGGCCATTCTTTGGCCCATTGCTTATGCCATTCTTGGTTTTTACAAAAGATAAAAATGGTGTCCACTTGAGACATATTATGTACATGAGGCACAATATGTTGCCCAAGTGAACCAGAAATAATCATACATGCTTTGTTGTCGGTGATAGTTTGAATAAATTCAACACATTCTTCACTATCTGTAAACGTGTTGACGTTGTTAACAATACGTGTCAATTGTTGCATTGTATTATTACAATCCGCATGATTATCATTAATATTGCTGTCCAACCAAATCAGGAGGACATTTTGCATTCTTTGCATGTCCATACGTCGATTTGCAGCAGCACTTTTGGAGAGATCAGATGTTAGCTCAGTTGTTTTTGCATAACTGAATGTAGTAGCAGCTGCTGATATTAGATTTCCCATTACTTTTAATGTTTTGTATGTGATTTACTTAACTAAATTTTGTGAATGAAAGGATCATCAAAGTAGCTCACCTTATAGTGTCCCTATTTTCTATTGAGATTTTTTCTTCTATTTGTTAATTGGACAACAATGCCTTTTTTATTAACAACTGTATATATTTTTATGAAAAACAACCGAAATTAACACAGACATCCGTAGTAATAAATAGAAAGCGAAAAAAGGAGTGGTTAAGTATTTTTATGACTGTCAGTCACTAAAATAATCCCATCAAACAGTTTGCCTGACTATTTCGACGACGAAAACAAAAATCACCAAAGAATTTTTTTTCTTTCTGTTCTCATGTTTCATGTTGTTGAAGACTCAAAAGTTGGAAATAATTATATTATCACAGACAGTATAATGCTGTTCAAGTACAAAACACATCTACTCCTTGATTTCTATGGTCAAATATATGAAACACAGAGAAAACTATTTAAATTAGTTGTTATTTCTCGTTCTTTTGAATTTTTGTATCCACCTAACAACAACATATGAAATACTACGTAATGCTGTATAAAAACGTTAAACGGTAGAATTAAAACAAACGAATGAAAAAAAACATTATGATCGTTACTCTGCTAGCTAGACAAATAAAGTTGGTAAAAGAGAACTGCGTGTTGTACATCAATTTCTACAATGTTCATTATAGAAGTGTCTAAAAATGAAATGAAAGATAAGTATATGGCAAAAAAAATGCACAATCGATAAATTGTATCAGAAAATCGATTGTTATCTACTCTTTTTTTACAATGAAAAAATGCACTTATTAAAGCTTTTCTAGTTTGTTTATTTCTACGAAATATGGTGCGAGGTTCGATATTGTTTTTTTTCACATTTCGTTATAATTAAAATGAAAAGAAAAAGTAAAAGTTAAATGCCATTTCACTCAGTCTCACACACTCACCCTCAAGCTTGAAAATAACTATTCTATCTCGACAGCCTAAGAGTCAGAATGTAAGTGAAAGTAGGTTTAATGTTAACAATATATTCTTCATGACACTATTTTGTAATGATTGGTTCTAAATTTGTTACAGATTTTTTCTGAGACCGCAAAAAATCTGAGGATATCGATTTGACTTAATGCAGTAGCAACATGGAGTGCTTTTAGTTATCGTTAAGAAGACACTGTTCTAGTAGAAGTAATGCCTCACGAATGTAGTGGTAAACACTTCTAAATCTTATTTAATTATTAGTCATCAGCAAACAATCGAAATTATCAAAAGAGAAAGAAGCTATATGAGACTTCAAATCAGAAAATTTATATCGTTGGACATGACTAACAACAAATGGGTCTTCTTTTAATCATAGAAGAAATACAGTTCAATCTGACATAAAAAGAATATTATTTAGTTAGGCATGATGAAATAACATAACTAAATGCGATGGTGCTTTTAACCATAAACAAAACTATTCCGAGAAAAGAGTTTTCATTATTATAATATAGTTCCATACTGAATCTTTTATTCTATGAATAAATTCTTGATGATTCAACTATTCATCTAAAAAATCATGAGGAATTCTGCAAAACAACAAAAACCATACATGGTTCAGCAATATTCAATATAAAAGCTTTTTAACTTCAGTACTATCAAATAAAAACTTTTTCTTCCTCCAGACTATTCGATATTACACACTTTACAGTTCAGCAATATCCCACAACAACCTTTTCAGCCCACTATCATCAGACAGAATTCTGCTACAGCATTCCTCAAAACAACTTCTTGGGGTGTTACTATTAACCCTTGGAGTACCAAGAGGGGTCATTTTTGACCCCACACCGTCAAATTTTCACACAATAAGGATATTTTATTCTCTCGAAGATTTTAAAACACCGTATGGGATGAGTACGCAGAAAGTGTTAGATGCCCTTAAAACTCGAAAAAAAGGCCTGGTACTCCAAGGGTTAACAAAAGGAATCTTTTCTTATTCAAAGTCATCCCCGAGGATCTTTCAGAAGTATGCTACTATCCTATAGAATCTCTCATGACTCATTCTAACTGAAAATAAGTCTCTCGAATTTTACTATTGCTTACACATCCACAGACCAGTTTTGGACCTATTACAGAGTGACAAATATTTCTGAAAAACGATGTTTATCTTTTTTAATACATCATCACCTCACCACATACCCAAAAATCTAAGCAAAATTATCATCAGAATACACTCTAGGTTTAAAAATCAGCACTTTTATTTATTGTTTTTCCGAGTATTATAATACAATAAAAATAAACGCAACATCATTATCATCATTCGCTATTTGTTCGTCATCGGAATATATCCAATATTTTGATTCACGATCGCGATTGTCCTCCAGTTCTATTGCGTTCCATAAATGTAGATATTATGTGATTTACTTCAGCTCCGATTCCATTGCTACCGAGATGTACTGCGGTGAGTGTCTAGAAGAAAAAGTGTAAGCAAAGACATGATCTAGATACAGACAGAAAGACACTTACTGTGTTGGGTTGTAATCCATCAGCCAAATGTTGTGCTCCAACACCTCCAATTTCATTGTGCGAAAGATCCAGTGTGGTGAGTGTCTAGATGAAAAATTGTAAGTAGAGGAATGATCTAGATCAAGAGAGAATGGCAACTACTTTGTTGTGTCGCAGTCCATCAGCCAAATGTTGAGCGCCGACATCTCTAATGCGATTCCATTGGAGATCCAGTGTGGTGAGTGTCTAGATGAAAAAGTGTAAGTAAAGACATCACCTAAGTAAAGCCAATTACTGTGTTATGTTGTAATCCATCAGCCAAATGTTGTGCTCCAACATCTCCAATTACATTGGAATCGAGATCTAGTCTGGTGAGTGTCTAGATGAAAAAGTATAAGTAAAGACATCATCTAAGTAAAGCCAGTTACTGTGTTGTGTTGTAATCCATCAGCCAAATGTTGTGCTCCAACACCTCCAATTTCATTGTGCGAAAGATTCATTGTGGTGAGTCTCTAGATAAAAAGTGTAAGTGTAGGTATTATATAGATCAAGACAGAATGGCAATTACTTTGTTGTGTCGTAGCCCATTAGCTAAATGTTCTGCTCCAACATCTCCAATTCCATTGTGCGAAAGATTCAGTGTGGTGAGTGTCTAGATGAAAAAGTGGTAGTAAAGACATGATACAGGTAAAGAGAGAATGGCAATTACTGTATTGTCTTGTAATCCATGAGCTAAATGTTCTGCTTCAACACATCCAATTCCGTTGTGCGAAAGATTCAGTGTGGTGAGTGTCTAGATAAAAAGTGTGGGTGTAGGCATCATATAGATCAAGACAGAATGGCAATTACTGTGTTGTTTCGTAGTCCATTAGCCAAATGTTGTACTCCAACAACTCCAATTCCATTGTGCAAAAGAATCAATGTGGTGAGTGTCTAGACAAAAAGTGTAAGTAAAGACATCATCTAGATACAGACAGAAAGATAGTTACTGTGTTGTATCGTAGTCCATTAGCTATGTGTTCTGCTCCAACACCTCTAATTCCATTGCCTGAAAGATTCAGTGTGGTGAGTGTCTAGTAGAAAAAGTGTAAGTAAAGACAAGATCCAGATACTGACAGAAAGACACCTACTGTGTTGTATCGTAGCCCATTAGCTAAATGTTCTGCTCCAACATCTCCCATTTCATTGGAATTGAGATCTAGTGTGGTGAGTGACTAGATCAAAAAGTGGAAATAAAGGCATGATACAGATAAAGAGAGAATGGCAACTACTGTGTTGTGTTGTAATCCATGAGATAAATGTTCTGCTCCAACACCTCGAATTCCATTGCGCGAAAGATCCAGTGTGGTGAGTGTCTAGACAAAAAGTGTAAGTAAAGACAAGATCCAGATACTGACGGAAAGACACTTACTGTGCTGTTTCGTAGTCCATTAGCTAAATGTTGTGTTCCAACAACTCCAATTCCATTGTGCGAAAGATTCAGTGTGGTGAGTGACTAGATCAAAAAGTGGAAATAAAGGCATAATACAGGTAAAGAGAGAATGACAATTACTGTATTGTCTTGTAATCCATGAGCTAAATGTTCTGCTCCAACACATCCAATTTCATTGCCTGAAAGATTCAGTGTGGTGAGTGTCTAAATAAAAAGTATAAGTAAAGACATGATCTAGATCAAGAGAGAACGGCAATTACTGTGTTGTGTCGTAGTCCTTTAGCCAAATGTCGTGCTCCAACATCTCCAATGCAATTCCATTGGAGATTTAGTGTGGTGAGTGTCTAGATAAAACGCGTAAGTAAAGACATGATATAGATGAAGAGAAAATGAAAGCTACTGTGTTGTGTGCTAATCCGTTAGCCAAATGTTGTGCCCCAACATCTTTAACTTTATTCCGTTGGAGATTTAGTATGGTGAGTGTCTAGATGAAATAGTGGAAGTAATGGCATGGTATAGTTGAAGAAACAGAATAGTTCACTGTTGCTATTAGTGTTTAGATAAATGAAATAAGGGTTGGTAAGGCTGCAGTGGAGAGTACATAGATATAAGTCTGAATACTTGTTTGAATTTTGATTGTGTGGAATGCTCAAGAGTGATAGGTAAAAAGCTGAGTTAAAAAGAAGTTAGAAAGGGTTGCGTCTGGTAGAGATTTTTTATCTATCAGTTGTTTTAATTCTTAGACCTTTTTGCGAAAGAAGGAGAAAGTACTAGGGTATAAATAATAGTGTGCTAATTGGTGCTCCGCATAACAATTTGAAGTCATGTATCGTCTGTTAGTTTATAACAAGATAAACTAGCTAGCTTATAGATTGTTAATTTCTCTCAGAATCTTATTTCTATTATCGAAATAGTAATAAAAAAGTGTTTGGATGTTACTAAGACGATAAAAAAGAAACTATTTTTTTCTAATTATCAGGACATTATTTTTAAATTGTCGTAATACAGAAAAAGAGTTTTCGAAAGAGATTAATAAATGATAAATTAGTTTAGTAAACAAATAGTTTATTTATATGCATCTTATTGAAGTCATTCTATTTGTATAGAGACGGTAGAAATAAAAAATAATTTGTGAGTCAATAAACAAAAATTCGACTATCATGATAGAAAAAAGTTTACCTGATATCGATGATAACTGTTTAAGATCATGTTGAATCGTTCACATACATTGGTCATTGAACATAGCATTGTAATATCCGATTGATGATCTAGAATTCGGTAGACAAGTTCTACCGGTAACGTATGGAAGTTCGCGACAGTTTGATTTGTCATTGCAGATTCTTGACGAAATGTATGCTGTGTAACGTTGTATGTTGGTGATATGATGTGTTGTGATTTTTTCTTCCTATCTGAATGAATATATATTCGTCATGCATGATATATTTCACATGACGTTACAATTACCTATTGAAAGGAAAAAACCCGAAAAAGAAATGACGTCAACTACAAATTTTGCAGTTTTCGATGAATTGCAAGAAGTTGATATTGAAAGCTTGATCAAAATGACATAGAATCGTATTTCCATCATAATAATAGATGAGCCATTTTTTAAAACTAGTAACTTATGTTAAAAAATGGTGGTGTATGTTAGAATTCTATTAGCCTCAATGCAACAATGTATATGACATCAATAGGATAAGAAATGATAAATAATATTCTTTATTTTAGTTAATTTATCAAAAGGAGAGTATTATTTACTACCAAAGACGATTGCACATTTGACGATTATACAAGTAGTTTGATGTACTTTGTAGATCTATAAACCTTATTTAATGTTTAATTCATTCGAGTTTCTATACTCTAGTGTGTATAAATAATAAAAACTACAGCTGACTATAGAAATATCAAGTTATTGATCATCTGCATCAATGAACATTATATATTTTTATTATCACATTTTTCTTTATTGAAGATAAAAAGACAAAGAAAACGAATAACAATTGATGAGATTAACAAGTCAAGTTCTTTTTTTTTACTGTTTAATATCAATAAAACATTGAAAAAAGCGAAAGCAAGAAATGAAAGATATTGCTAATATCTAAGCATGTATAAAAACAAAAGTAAATTATTTAGTTTCACAAAAATCAGAATAGGAAATATAATGTTTATTAAGTCACCGAATCATAAAAATCAATAAGCATAAGAAAGCACACAATGTTACTTGTAAATCGACTGAATACTTGAGTTTTTACGTTATTGTAAGCGTCCAATCAGAAGCTACCAATGGACCAGGTCGTCGAATAGTAAGCATTTGAGATTCAGCATGGTAATGATGAAGTGGAATGGCTTGTTTATCACCCGAATTAATTATCACCTTTTTAGGATTTTTTGGATAACCAAATATCAAAATACGTTCAATCCAAGCATCTGTTTCGAATTTACCAGTAAAATCAAGAGTTCTAATATACGTATAAAAGAAATGAATTGAAAGAAGAAAAAAGAACAATCATACTTTGAATGAAGTTCATTATTTCTGAATATAAACCGACGATAGATCATTTGTCGTTTATGTTTATAATCATATGTATATCCATCATCCATATATAGTTCACCTTTAGCTTCATGCTAAAGAAAAGACATATTTGTAAGTTAATTTTCTATTTTTTACAATTATTCAATACATACATTTCGATCAAGTGCGACAACTAAAGTTATTGGATCATGTAAAGCAAGCATTGATGAACGTCGTCTTCTTAATCGTTTTGGAATAATCACACCACCTTGTTGAAAGACAGGAATCTTAAAAAGAAATAAAAATAAAGTCTATTCAATGTTTATTATTATTATTACCGATTCCATATCTACATTGATAAGTACTGTTTCTGAACCATTATATTGAATTAATGTTCGTGTATCATACCAAATCTTTAAAGAAAAGAAATGTCATATACTCTGGTAATTATATTTTTCTTACTGTATTTTCTCCTGGAAAATATATCGAAACTTGATTAGTATCAGCTTCTGTTATTGGACAAACAAGAAGACCATTACCTATAAAAATAAAAGTTTATAATTAAAAATATATCTTTATTAATTAATATATGATACATACCAACCATAAATAAATCTTCTGTTTTAAATACATTTTTATCTTTAGGAAAATTTGCCCATAATGGTAACATTGGTGGTATTCCTTGTTTTTCTTGCTTATAAAATAATGTATACCAATAAGGTAAATAATTATAACGTTGTTCAATAGCTTTTCGTATTAATCGTGTATTATCAGGTCCAAATAACCATGGTTCACGACGAGCTGTATCAATATGTGCATGTTCACGATAGAATGGTTGAAATGCTGCTGCCTTAATAAAGAAAATACGATAGATATTCAAAAAAGAAGTGAGTTTGTTAACATACTTGATACCATCGAACAAGTAATTTTGCATCTGGATTAGAAAAAAATCCTCCAACATCAGCTCCAGAAAAACCAAAACCAGTTACTGATAAACTTAGTAACATTGGTGTAGCTATTTTTAGATAACTCCATTGTGCTGCATTATCACCTGTCCATACAGCTGCTGTTCGTTGTGAACCAGCAAAAAATGAACGTGTTAAAATAAATGGACGAATATGTCCATTTGAACGATTGTAAAGACCTTGAAATGTTGACATATGTTGAAGCATACCATAAAGATTATGTACATCACGATCTTCCCATCCACCATAATGAATAATATCTTTTGGAAATGTTACTTCTGGACCATTAAATACCGATGGTTCATTCATATCATTCCATATAAAAAGATTTCCTGTTGATCCTTTATAATTTTCTAATGAATATCGTTGAGAGTACCATTGAAATATATCTGGATTAAAATAATCAAGCCACATTGATGCGCCTTTTATTCAGAAAGAAAAAAAGAATAAATTATTATTTCATTTTTTTTAAATATACCTGGCCAACATGATCCTTCATAATCTGCACCATCTTTTGTTTTTACAAAATATCCTAGTGCTTTAGCGTCAGCATATACTTGATACGCATCATCTTTCTTTATATGTGGATCACTAATTGTAACCAATTTTCTTCCATAACGAGCAATATCGTCTTGTAATTTTTCAGGATTTGGAAATTTTTGTGTATCCCATGTAAAATATCTTTTACCATGTGTATGTTCAATATCAAGCCAAATAACATCAAGTGGAATTACATTTTTTTCAAAACCATTGAGTACACTAAATCATATATGTTTATATAGAAATATTAAATAATTAATTATACCTTCGAACATCATCTTCATCGTTATAATTCCAACGACATTGATGATAAGCAATTGCCCATAGCTAGAAAAATCAGATGAATTTATTTCAAGAGAATAAGAATTGATATAGTATTCTTACCGGTGGAAGTGGTACAGAACCTGTAATAACTGAATATTGTTTGAAAATATCTCTCGGTGTTGGGCCCAAGAAAAAAAATCCATCAAATATTCCCGATTCAAACATCCAATGTGTAGACACTTGTGGTACTTCATTTTTATCAGCAGTTGGTTTTGTAGAAAAAAAACTTGCAATTGTTGAAAAGAAACCCTAAAATAAAACAAATATTTTAATAGAAATAAAATGAATATCGGTCTTCACTTATACTGTATAAATACAAAAGTCTTCCAGATTCATTTATCTTCACTGGAACCTCAAAATCAGTTCTCATCAATAAAGTTATTCATTGTACTAGTGATTTTTTACTAAATCTGATATAGAAGCTCGATTAGTTATAACGAATTTTAATAATAATCGCATTAAAACTATATTCAAAAGCTTTACAAAACAATAAAGCAGAGGAATTTTGTGGACTATCTTAAGCTTAGCTTATGCATCAGAATAATTGATAAAAATAAAACTGAGTCGGGTGAAGAGAGTAATCAGTTACAAAAATATGTAAGATAGAAAAACGGTTACCATCACTTTTATCCAATAATTCTATAAGAAAAAAGAATTCTAATTTATTCTCAACTCTTATATATAACTTTAATATTTGGTTAGGTAATAATACTTACTTGTACAGTTAATTTATCATTATTAACATCAATCCATCCTTCAGCTGCATTTAACCAGAAGAAACCAACAGTAGCATGTTCACTATATAAATATATTGTATAGAAATAAAACGAAAAAATTATTTTTATTTCATCTACTTATGAGCTAGCATATAAGGAACAGAACCATAAAGAGCCATAGGATTTTGAATATCATATTCAAAAATATCAAGATTAAAAAGTCGATACGGATCAGTATCACTAAAAATATCATATAATGATGCCTTTTTTTATTAACAATATATCTATTTACTGTGTAGATCTAAGTGAAAATGCATCAGCATGTTCTGGAATACCATAAACATTTTCAAAATTAAGAAAATTCACATCTACACCAATTGATGATGGACCTTGAAATAAATACTTATTATGAATCAAAAACATATACTAAATTATATTTACCATATGGTTTTGAATCCTGATGAGTTTTAAATGTTTCTTCCCACATTCCATCTTCATTATCTTCGGTCTATATATATCAAAAAAATATTTAATAACTTTAAACTGAGTACTATCGAGTTAGAAGTAGATACTTGATTTTTATTAACATATATTTATAAGAAAGAAAAATCCTGCTATTCAATATATCATTTTCTATTGTTATTCAAGTGGATATGATAAGAAAATCAAATGAATAAAGAATATTACGAACGACTTATAGATTTCTAATCAATAGTTTTCATCAACTTACATTATTTTCACCTGTTGATTCATTTGTCCTATTTAAACGAATATAAATATAATAATTTTAAATATAATTAAAATAGTTTTACCCAGGTTTAGTTCGATAATGTTCGAAATTAAACATATTTTTTGAATTAACACTCATAACGAATATACCATTTGTAAATAAATCCAATCGAAATGGTTTTGCATTAAGAAGAAATTTAGCGGATTTACTAAAACTACCTTCAACTTGTTTTCCATCTAAGTTTGTTAATTTTACACTTAAAAGAAAAATATTTTCGAATAAAATTTTCCTTTCAAAATAAAAATACAATTTTTCTTACTCAACAAGTTTTGGTTCACCCACAAGAGCATGTTCAACTTCATAACGTTTTCTTATTGGATTTTTTTCATTTATTTTAACTCGTAATGAATTATGTTCTAATGTAAATATATCTAATTGAAATTTAATAGGAGATTTAAGAGTATTATGAAGTATAAATTGTAAATGTCCAGATCGAATTGTTTTCATTGAACGTAAATCAACTTCATAAGGTGATATATCAGGTTTATATTTACGTTGTCGTCTAATTAAAAACTCATTTATTATATATATATGTTACAAATACGATAAGTAAAAAAATAATTACCGACAAAATGCACTTTGTTCACAAGTTTTAAAATTATTCCGATCAACATTTTCACTGGGCGGAATATTTAAAATGTATAGAATAAAGATTAGATTGAGCAGATGAAAAAATCTACTCATTTTCTATATTTTATTTTGAGTAATAGAGTATAACAGCTGAAGGATGGATAACTTTAATAAATTGAAGTTTTGGAAGAATGATATTGGCTATTTGAAAATATTCAATAGAAATTTATTAAGATTTCGTGACATATTTTTTTTGAAGAATAATTATTAAAATGAAGATAAAAGAAATGAAAGACTGAGTATAAAATAATATATAATATCTAATATAGATGCCACCCTATTCTGTATGATTGGAGTCAGAATGCTATAGTAATGAATTGTAAAATGGAGAAGAGAGAAATTGATTATTTTCATTTTTTCCTATTGCGTGATTGATTGGAAAGATTACTTTTGATTATATGAACATTATTTAAGAGGACAAAAGACACAATGGGTAAGTCTTATGTTTTTTAGTTAAATTATAGATGAATTCTTTCTGAAACTCGATGAGAGAATATAATCTTCCTGTTGTCATAGAGTGATTTCGTAACTGTTTGATTTTATTGAATGATCGATTTACTACTACCCTGATCGAATAATCAGATAGCAAGATCTTGTAGGAAACATATGTCCGATCATATCTGATTTGATGAAATCGGACAAAAAATTGTAGTCTCTGATTTCCTGTAAGATTCTGTTATGCGGAACAATGTCACCAAAATATTTCATTAAAACTGATATCTTCGTAAAATCTTACTTAAAAATTATACTGAAAATACAGACGCGTCAGATCTTTCAAGACAAATGTGATATGAATTGATACAAGATTTCAGAGGCTACGATTTTTTGTCAGATATCTTATAAGACTTTGTAAGATCTGATGTCAGATTTTTTGACCTGGGTAAACATTTGTAGAAAGACTGTGGACTGAATACTGATATGTTCTCATTCCGGAATAATCTCTTATTATAAGATTCTTATACATTGGTTAGATAAAACATTTCTATATGTTTAGCGGAAACAACAGTATATCGAACAAAACCATCAAATGAAACTTCAACTAAAGGTCAAACAGCATTCTATCGTAATGTTATATTACCAAGTAAAGCTCTTAAAGAAAAACAAAAGGTTTGTAATAGATTTAATTCAAGTTATTTTATTTCGGTCGGATTTTTTTCTAGCTTCCATTAAATCAAATTAAGAATACTGCAGCAGCATATGAAAAGCAAACAACACTTCGAAAAGAAGATACTGAAAAGTTTATTTTTGCTCTAAATAAATATAAAAATTTCCGTTTTTCTCTAAACTAGATTTCGAAGTTCATTAGAACGTCAACTATCAATTGATATGCTTCGACATGGTTATCATAATTCATTTCGTGAATTATGTGCTATATTAGCATGGCAAAAAGAAGATCGAGAACGACTAGGTGCTGAACATCCACTTCATCGACGACCATTACTTGATGCTGAATCAGATAAATTACGTTATCTTTGTCAATATCTCAATAAAGCTGAAGAAGCTGAACGACGATGTAACTATTTTTATTTCTATAATAAAGATAAAATTCTTTTTCTTTTCATCTAGCTCAATTCTCAAATATGTACCATAATTATTTGGAATTAGCATCATATTTTTTAAAAAGTGATGATCGATGGCTTTCCGATTATTTCTATGAAAAAAGTCTAACAGTTGCTCAAACACATTCACAATTTGATCCACAATTAGCAGCTGAAGCTTATCTTAATGTTGGTTTAGCATATGAACGACGAAGTCTAATAAATTTATATAAAACCAAAATACTAAAATAACTTATTTTATTATTATTTTAGGTGATTTAGTCAAAGCCTTGAATAGTTTTATAAAATATTATCAATTAAGTGAAGACAATGAACATTTAAAAACGGATGCTAGTATACAATTAACACGTTTATATATGAAATTAGCCCAACGTCGAACTGATAATCAATCACTTCAATATGTTAACAAAGCATATGAAGCTTCAATTCAAAGTAAAATAAAACAAGATAAGAATATTTGTAAAGAAACGAATTCTATTAAATTTTTAGCTGGTGATAAAAAAGTTGAAAATGAAACAAGTTATAAGCTAGGACAAGCTTTTCTTGAACATGGAGATGTCGATTCAGCTTTAAAATATCTTCATAAATATTATGATTATTGTCAAGAAGTTAACAACGATGAAGGTTTTGGTCAAGCAAGTGAAGCACTTGCAATCTGTTATCAAAAGTAATTCAATTAATCAGTTTGTTCATAAGAATATGTCTTAAAATCCGGAGAGTAAAAATCCGGAAAATTTCTGATATTGTTCTAACAGAAGAGAATGATAATATTCTTTCATAAATGATTATGGTTGTCTACGTCAATCATGATTATCGACTACCGAGTGCCATTCTACTTTACTGTGCTCTGCACTTCTATTAGCAAATATACACAGACGTGCACCTTGAGAGTATGGGTGTTGTGTCCATGTTTTATCCACACCCACACCATCTAACCAAAGTCAATACTCTTGCCAATAGGAATGTGACAGTTCCAGTTCCAAAAAAACTGAACCTGAGCTTTCACAGTCCTACTTGTCAAACATTTCGAGAGCGATGAGATCGATCGCGATGAGTATCTCGTGGGACTTTCTTTATTGGTGGCTACTAAAAAGTGAACCACATCACTTCTCTTCAAATCAAATGGTTTCTCTTCTTTCTTGTACATGGTTCTTTGTTAAATAAACTGTTGAATCTTTTTTCAAAAATTTTCCGGATTTTTTCCACCGAATTTTTCCTCTCCGGATTTATTTCTCTCTGGATTTTTCCTCCGGATTTTTTCTTCCGAATTTTTTCCTCCGGATTTTGGGACAATACCGTTCATAGCATTTTTAAAATCTAAATATCCCATGAGTACTAAAGACGATATTGAAACAGAATGTTCCATATACTCTATTCTCATAGTTTTAATAAATTCTAAATAATCGTAGGAAATGAATACAATCCTTTAGAAAAGAAGTTTATTTGCGTAGCGTAAATAAGATTTTTTTGTTTTTGTGTCTACGACAATATAAATATAATTTAAAATAGAGAAAAAACATCTGTTATAAAGATTTTCATATACAGATTAATTTATTCTCATTCTTATTTATAGAAAATCCAATATTGAAAAAAGTACAGAATACTTAACAAAATATTTACAAAAAGTATCTGATAAAGAAGGTGATATGCAATATGCTAGAGCTTGCAGTGCACTTGGTTTTATTCATATAACATTGGTAACATTTCAATTAAAACTTTTGTTCCTATTCAATTCTTTTTTTATCTTAGAGTCAATATGATTCAGCTATACAATCATTAAGTAAAGCTTATAGTATATCATTAGCAAATAGTCATGCTGATCTTGATCGTAATCGAGTTTTATTCGGAATTGCACATGGCATGAAATTACGACCAGCCTTTAATGATCATGTTGATCGAATGCATACAAAAGAATTGCTTCAATGGAAATGTACAAGACATGAAAGTTTTATAACCAAACCAAAACCTTAAGATTTTTGACGATTGTTTTTATTTCGAAATCATCTGTTTGTTCAAATCTAACCATAAGTATAGAACATGTTGAATACGAATAAAATACTTGTAATTTAACTTATTCAACATAGTTACATATTTAAAAGCTATAAAAATCAAAAATTATTATTTTATATATTTGAAATAAAAATAAATATATTTACCGTATGCAGAAAATTTTATTTCTATTGTTTACTATTTTCAATAGTAACGATCATATGTGGATTTTGCATAGATGCTATTGAAGTATTAATAATCAAAAATAACAAAAATTTGAAATGAAACTTACTTGTTCGATTTATAATTTAAAAATGAATGAAAAAATTGTTTTTTAAAATAAAATAGAACAAAAAAAAACAGTAATGTGCACTTATAAAAATAGTGAAATGTATCTGAGAATAAATAACAAATGATATATTTCATATATAATATTAAGGTACATTATCTGAATTAAATGTCATTGAAGTAGTTTTTATTGATGGTGCAGCTAAAATTTTGTGAATTTCTGCATGAGATACGACTGTTGTAGGTGATGGATTTTCGTCTGGCATCAGAGTTTGTTGTTTTTCTGTCGTGAGAACGGATGGAACAAACGGAGAAGTTGTTATAGCACCTGCTGGTGCCGGTTGTGGAGTTTCTATATGTACGGGTGTGATACGAGTACGATAAGCCCAATTATTATAACATATATCCAATTTAGCATAAAAGCAAACAAGTGTAGTAAGAAAAAACCCAACACCTAAACTAATTACACCAACACCAATAAATGTAGTATTTCTAACTTCAGATATAACACCAATGATAATAAGAATAAGACCAGTTGTTACTGATAGACAACCACCAATGATGCATGAATGCCCCACTTTTTGTGTATGTGACTCATCATGTAAGCCCCTTCCCGAAGTCGTAATATTACGTGTTCGACCACCAAGGAAGAGCATTTTTGTCAATGAATAGACATTGCGGTAGAAGAATCTTGAAAAAACTCTGAGTAAATTATACAAAAGAAAAGCATCTGATTATTCATGTGAAGAACCTTGCATATAATATTTCATCTTTTTATGCTTAACAAAAAGGAACTTCTAAGATAACCTCTCAGTATATATTGATTGCAACTAAATTCTATTCATAATAACTAGCAAAATCTTTTTTTGTAAAAAGAAGAAACAAAAAACTATCTGACACTTTTAACTATATCCGTCTGAGTTATTTTTCAAGATCGAAAAAGATATTTTCTTTTTCTTTTCTCACACTAAGAAAATAAAAGAAGTAAAAACAAGAAGAAAAAAAAGTGTACGAAGACGTCACACATTCCAGCAGTAACAGTAGATCATTTTTAAATAATGAGAAAAGCATGCGAGTTGATAAGCTGAAGAAGAATAACAGCTTGGAAAAGGAAAGCGGAAAGAAACAGTGTAATTTGAGTGACAAGAGAAAAATGAAAGATAATAAAACAAAAAGAAAAGGAAGAAAACGAAGAGGCGGTTAATAATAAGCGTTTATAAGCACACCTATTGGGACAAATTTATTCTATAATAAAATTCTTCTTTTGAACAATCAAAGCATACGATTATAATTCACTAAAGAAAGAATATTAAAATTTTAGGTATTAGTACTTTAGTGACGTAAACAAAATTTTCGGATTTAGATTATTTTTAGAAGAAAATAAATATTAGTTTAATAGAGAAAGCTGGAGGTTATATTCAATTATCTTAATAAAACAGCAATGATCTGATTTTATATACAAATTAAAACCCTTTCAGGACCGTGGTACAACATATGTACCACCTACGCTGGAGGGGGGGTCCAGGCTTTTGGTTTTGAGTCGCGGTTAAAAAGATAGTTTAAGAATAATACACTGATTGTGAAAGCAAAACTAGTTCTGAAAGGGTTAAGTTTTATATGTCTTGATATAGAATGATGTATATGGTATCAAATTCTGGTTAGAACTACGTTTTTGTGTTAATATAAACTATACTTAAGTGAAAAACACATCGATCTAAATCATACTGATAACTAGAAATATAATCATATAAACATCATTGAATGGAGAAATATGCTATTTAATACTGTGAAAAAAATTAGTGGGTATAATAAATTCGTTAAAAAGAGATTTCTTTGATATTTTATTATGAAATTGAAATAAAATAAGATAACAACTTTATTTTTAGATATTTACGTTTTTTTACTTTGTTCATAAATGAAATTATCACGAGTTGAATTAAGTATTAAAATTTCTTATTAAGTCAGCTTAAAAAAAGAACAATTAAAAAAGGAAATAATAAGTAGGACATTCAATTTAACCATGTGACAGTTATTTTAAAGATTTCATAAACTCGATGTATGCCTCATTTCTCTAAATGAACTGTATGCAACATCTACTAAAACATTTCTTAATTGTTCAAAATACAATATATCGATCAGATATTTTTATGTTAAATATCAATGAAGTCCAATTAAATCAACAAAACAGAAGAACTTCTAGAATAGAAAAGTTTCTTTGTTTACAAATCAAGTTCCATTCTGCCTCAATTCTGGCAGCTAATGAATTGAATCAAAACACATTTTTTTATAAAACAATATCCGCATGAAATAAATGTAAAAGATAAACATAAATTTTTAAAAGTTTTTAATAATCATTTACGCATTAATTATGTCTCTACTCATTAGAAATTTATTAGACATTTCTTTCTTTTTTTGTGTCAAAATGTCTACACAAATTTATTATTTAAATTTTATATTAAAATATCATGACTTGCGTCACAAATCGTTCTATACATACAGATAAATATAGATATTCTAAATTAAAACTTCTCAATGGATCAATTTCAATACTGTTACATCGTAAAAAAATTAAGTAAAAAAAGATTTTTCTTATTAGAAAGTTCCCTCGATATAATTATGTTAAAGCCAAATGTGTGAAACTTAATTTGAATGTTATTACAATAAAATTCTTGGTCGTTTTCTTCGAACATTATTTTTTTTCCATGTTTCGATTGTTAAGACAATCTTTATTCACTGTTAATTACACTAACTGATTAGTATTAAAATATTCTGTATCTTCGAAATATGAGATTGACATGTCCAAGATTTAAATAGCTATGTGAACAATCATGAAAATCCTTCCATGTCACTGCAAGATGTGAAAGATTTGATGATGTATCAAGCATGTGTTTAATAATAGTCACACGCTCTGATTTTGTCATTGATTCTAATTGGAAATTAAAAGTCAGAGATCGTAAATAATGAAACAATAAGTGCTGGCTGAAAGGTTAACTTGATGTCATAGCTGCATTTGTCTCAAAAAGACACATATATATTATGAACTTACTCAATAATTAGCCATTTAGAATTTCGAAAAAATCAAATTTTCATAGAGATATAATAATGGTAGCTAAATAGTATCGTTATTGCGTTCAATTTGTCAAAGAGATTTGAACAACATCCTTCACCTCGAATTATTCTACTTTAATTAAATATTTAATCTGATGTTAGCATAATTTTTCTATTCGATCTCTTTTTCATATATCTTGTAATATTACATAATTATTTAAGTGACCACTTAATTTAACAATTAGTGATATTAAAAGACGAAATGCATTTATTCTAAACTGATAACTTGATGTTTTCCTTTTTAAGTTCTCGTCCTTCAAAATACAATTATGAACAAATTAAATACAGCATATAGATCGAATACTGACTGCGTAATTAAACAGATACTTTTGTGTTGAATATCAATGAAGTTAAACTAAATCAATAAAACAGAAGAACTTCTACAATAGGAAATTTTCTTTGTATGCGGATCAAGTTTTACAACTAACGAATTCAATCAAACACATTTTTTATAAAATAATTTTCTCTTGAAATAAATGTAAAAGATAAATATAAATTTTTAAAAGTTCCTTATAATCATGTGTGCATCAATCATGTCTTCTCCACCCATTCGAAATTTATTAGACATTTCTTTCTTGTTTTATCAAAATGTGTGCATTTAAGCAAACAATGAGCATGATGTTCAATAGATCCGATAGATGACGTAAAAAATATATATTAACTTGACGTTCTAATCTGATTATTCTTTAATATGATCAATAATTGTATACGTGTCTAACATTCAAATATGTTATATTAAATTCATGGACGAATTGAATTTGTCATTATTAACAAATTATATGACAAGATGATTCACATCGACAATGAGAGCAAACATCATCACTCTTCTCTATACACTTACATAGTTAATCTTAATACTTTAGTTTAACAATACATCAGAATGAATTTTTTTTCAAGAGATCTTCATTGAAGATCAATACACTTCAAACGAATATAAGATCTATATTTATATGAAATTAATTGTAAAATCATTCAGTTTTTTTGTCATATTTCTTGACCTTGATAGTCCCAGCATCTAAAATACTTATGATACAAAACATACTAATAGACTCTTTGTATGTTCATTGTCATTTCAATATTGTAACTTTCAAGTATAATTACGATATTATCACAGTAAGAACTATAGTGATAGAAGTCTTCCTGTTTTTTTCGAACATTATTCACAGTTACTTTTAAAGCAGCTGTCATCAATAAATTAATTTCGGCATTTAGTTATACTGCTGCTGTTCAATATAATGAACGTAGACATAATTGCATTATTGTGAGGAATTAATTTTCAATCGCGAGAGTATAATTATTGACAGTTTAGGCAAATATGAGACATGATGATTAACATTGACATATGTATGTAATAGAGTTGCAGATTCAGAATGATTTCAAGTTCAAGATACTATTCATTCTATGATTGAAAAAAATTCATATGCTATTACTGAAGTATATATGTAATCAAATTCATTTATACATGAAAAAAAGATTGAGAATAATTATATGCTATTTAGTTAGACGGCTGAAAGAAAAGTTTAATGATTTTGATTATAGTAATGCAGTACGTAGTTGTTGATCGTATAGGTGTTGTTTTGTTGTATATATTTTATGATCCTATAGGGATTTGAAATGTTCAGATAGAGAATACAACTCATTTTGTTGAGTATTTCATACTTGATTTATTTATTAGTCAAGATAAGACATAATGTGTTGGTGTTATTGGAACGAATCTTAATGATGATGATCTTCGTCTTTTTTTTGCTGATTATATGATTTTATCATACACGTACTAGAAATGAACGTGTCATGGCAATCGTTGTTGGACATAAAAATGAGCATTAAGAATATATACAATTGATAAATAACTTGTAAAATAATTAGATTTGTTTTCTAACGATAGAAGGAGATCATAATGAAAATAATTTTCTAGTAGATAGTAGTGACAAAATATTCTATAAAATGTTAAATATTATACGCTACATGACATTTTTCACAAGTTATATCGAGTGATATCCCTAAAGAGTGGTTCGTTATCTTTTAGATTCTAATGAATGTATATAATCTTGATCTCTATTCCGTCGGGAAGATGACAAACATAAAAAAAATGAAATTTATCATCAATTAATTTTACAATTATTACATGAATGTTTATTTAATATAAGTAATATAGCGATGATTTCGTAGAATATTGATGAAACGGAAGAAAACCAATGCTAATTTCATAAACTGTTCATTATAAAGGTTAGATACAACTGAAGAGCTTGATTTTGTTAATGCTTATAGAAATAAATCTTCATAAGATTTTATTATCTTTGAACGATGGCATACGGATGCAGTTGAAGTAGAAAATAAATCAAAAAATACATTTGCTGTTCCTGATCTTTCATCCTTTTGTATCGATTTTATTATACATGAAGAAAATAGTATGAAAGATTCTTTCTCATACTAAAACTCGAAATGTTAATTAGCCTATTACTATAGTATAACTCTGTTTGAAAATTGTATTACGATATATTTTGTGATGATTCAACCTTGGCAAATGATCGTGAAACTATTTGAAGTAGTGACGTAATTGAATAACAAAATTTATTAATCAATAGTATGCAAGTAATTGATGGCATAAAAGATGAAAAGATAGTCAAGATGCACATGCTATGAACATTATCTGGTATGTATACCATTGAGATCAGTATTAATGATTACAAACATAATGAATGTTACTGATCAATTGCTCAGATGAAATCTGAGCAATGATATTTCTTATTTCGTAATAATTGTCAAGGTCGGAGAATTAGTATATTGATTCTTAACGTTCAAATAAACTTAATCAATGAACAATATGATCATATGTATATTCGATTAAATCTAATGAGCGATTTGGGACTTAACTGTTCTCTTTCTACATCACATTAATATATCAATCAGCTACTATTAAAATATTCAATTAAATTTGTTGTCAATCAATGTCACTAAAATCTATTATTTATTGTAGAAAAAAAAAGAAACGGTACAAATTTTTGATTTATATTTTATTATGTCGGTGAAATTTAACGATTGCATTATAATCATTTTGATATTTTAAACGTAAATCTTTTTGATCGACATATTCAATAACAAATTTTAGTTCGATTAATTTATCATGGAATTCATTGACTAATTTACGAATACCATCATTGCGTAGTTCATAACAACATAATAAACGTGTTTGTGAATTTTCTGGACATAGATTAGATATTGTTTTAACTAAATCATCTAATTCAATTGAATGATATACACAATTAGCAACAATAACAAAATCAAGATTTTGAAAACAATCATCCTCTTCACTAATGTCATCACCCCAAAATAATGTTTTAGCTTGAGCTTTTCCTGTAAGAGCATGTTCATTTTTTTTTATATTATAATTTATTAATTCAACATATTCTTCTCGATCAGTTAATGTAACATTTCCACCTAAAGCACAAAGTTGTATACCAACAATACCAGTTCCACTACCAATTTCAACGATACGTTTATTTTTAAATTGATTAAACATATGATCATAACAATATTCAGCTAAACAAATAGCAGCTTCCCAACACCAACTACCTACGGAACCAACTTTTGTTTGACAAATTTCTAGTGATTCATCATTTTCATTAAGTAAAGTTGTTAACGGAAATAGATGAGATTCAAATACATTAAAATAGCAAATTTTTATTTTGGCCATGATTGATTGTCCTTGAATGAGATGGAAGAACAACAATCTCGGAAGAATACAAATCCGTTTCCTTTTCCTATTCTCCAATCATATGCATATTCGTTGACGAGTAAGAAACAAGATGATATAATGCTGCTCTATCCTCTTATGTATTATATAATCTACAATTCTCTTTTAGGTTAATCATCATAAGAACTATATGAATAGATGATTACTAATCCATTCGAATCAATGATTTCTAGTACTGAAATATCTTTATTAAAAAAAATGAGTCTCTAATCTTTTTTTTGTATTATCAAAAAAAATCATTAATATTTTTGCACTAATAATCATATTAGAATTTTCTTTTGTACTCTTCTTATCAGAGTTTTAATTAGATTTATTTAAAAAAATAGTAAGTCTTTGATTTCTTGTATGAAAAAGAATTATTAATTCTATTCGTTTATTTTATTTTTTTTGTTTTCTCAATATTTTATTTTTGATAAAATATTTAATAAAAAAACATTATTAAGTCATAAAAAAGAATCTTTGATTAATATAACAAAGAAAAAAACTTTAAGAAAATTTCTAGTCTATTATTAAATAAAATAAAAAAATTTAGAATTATCTCAATAGGGAATTGATTCTGTCGTTAGACCATATTGAGCTAATTGAGTAGATAAATCTTCTCCCATATCTATTAAAAAAGAGATTAGAAATAAAAGAAATTTTTTTTAAATAGTATTTCATACGTCCTTGGATATTTGAATGTTCATTCAATTCATCAAAATTCATTGATAATGGATTTCCATGAACAAGATTTTCAAATGTAGGAGAATAAGGACTATTACCTGTACCAGTGTAAATAGCATTATTCGGTGTATACGTACCTGAAATACTGGCTTGTGAAGATCTTTTTTCAAAAATACTTTGATCTAATGAATTTTCGTAGGAAAAATTTTCTTCTAATTGATTAGATGTTAATTTTTCTGAAAATTCATTATCGTTTAAACGTGGTAGCGACTAAATCATACATAATAAAATTAAAACTATGGAAAAAAAATAAGGAATAACATACAAGATCTTCTGAAATGCCAAGTTGTTTGACTTGTGCTAATAGATCACTTGTATCAAGTAAACTATTTCCAAAACGTGCTGTATAATTTTCAGGATCTGCAGGAGTAATACCAAGTCGACGAAATTGACGAATAATTCGTGGTTCGACTCTCTCATATCTTAAATTTATATAAGATAAAAATATATACGAATAAAAATTGTTATTTATTACTGGATGATAATATTTTTTGGTGGTGGATATGGTTTGACTTCTTCAGCTCGTTCAACAACAATTTTACGTTTTTGCATACTGGATTCGTAGGGCATCCAACGTTCGATAATAATATCACGTGGTTTAGGTGGTATTGCAGGTAATTTTTCAATAATAACTGAACGAGGTGGAGCTGGAAGTGGTGGAAGATTTTTTGTTAGAACTTGTGCTAATTAAACAAAAAGAGAATATTTCTTTTATACTAACACAAAAGATAAGAAGATTTCATATACCTGTCATAATGACAGGAATTCGTGGAGGTTTTTCACGAAGAATAAGTGGTGGAGGTGATAAAGGTGGTGGAGCTCGTTGACGGATAACCTATTTTGAAATATGTTTTTTATGAAGACAAAGAATTAAAATTTTACTTACAAGTGGTGGTGGTGGGGCAGGTTGAGGTGGGCGAATCTCACGAATAATTAAGGGTCCTTGGGGAACGGATGGCGGTCTTAAAAATTTAATCATGATATTTTGTTTATATATTACAGGATTAATCATTTGTGGTTTTCGTATTGTTTCTGGATTGGGATCAAAATAGAGTTGTTTTGTACGGATTAATGTTTCATAATCTATCGTGTGACTTATTTCTTCTGCAGACTGTTGATTAAAATCATAATTGTTTTCTGTTTGTTCTGGTGTTTGATGGAATCCAAAACTTGTTGTAACATCATTAGCTGAATCAGATTGTGATATAGTTGGATAACGTTGATCATTTGCAACTGTGTCCCCAGTGAGATGTGGCCAATCTCGAATAATTGTATCTTCATTATTAGACATAGATGATGTTAAGAAATCTGTATTAGGTGATGGTGTAGCATCAACATTTTCTATTTTTACATGTCCAGTTAATGATATAGATGTTGACGGTGAACGTCGTAGTAAAGATGATTCTTGTCGTTGTCGGTGTGTCGTTGATGGATCACTTGCCATAGTATTTTCATCATCTTCATCTGGAAGTGATATCATACTTCCTTGTCGATAATTATATTGACTTTCATTATTATAAGAAGAAAGTGAGGTCATCGTTATTTCTTCGTATGGAATAATTAATAGATATAAATTCTATTAAAAGACTATCAAATAATGAATAAATGTATAATATTCTAACAAATAGTACTGTTATTTATTTGATAAATTATTTGCCTTTTCTTCTTTTTTTATTTATGTATCAATCGAAACATGTACAAAAGAAGAAGTGTTAATAACCAACGAGCTGTAACATTAGACTTACTTAACCTTGTTACTAATAGTTCATATCAAAAGTTATTGATCTCTTTTATAGGCGAGGCTTCTTTTTTTTATCAATTTTCTTCACAAGTACATATCAATATCAAACAAGTGATGATAAAATATATAATAACACATTTTTGTAGATCATTATTTACATCATTGTCAATTATGTCTAAACATTAGACGTACTATTTAATTCATGCCTATTATAAAAGAAGGACGCGTTGTAATTTTGACACTAAAGAAAAGTACTTGATTTTTATACCTTGAAAAATATGTCATAGAAATCAAATCAATACGGTTTTTTAAATACAAAAGACATTGAAATAATATGATGATGTGAGACATTTTTGTTATAAAATATCTATTGATTTTATTTTCGATTTAAATTCATATTTTGATCTTTCTTGAGATAATTAAGTACATATATTTAATTATAACTACGAAAGATTCATTGGATTTGAATGTTAATCAAGAAACCTCTCGAATTAATTTTTTCTAAATATTTACATATGTAGGTTAAATATGATATTTAGTGACTTGTTTTTTTTTCAATTATAGAAGTTAATTTTCTGTTTATATTTCAAGTTGACTCGTTAAAATATCTAGGTATATAATTATATATAATTGAGTAGTTTGAACTAATTTTTGTCTATAATTGTTATTAAGAAAAAAAAACACCTTTAGATATATGGTTCGTTAATATTGATAATTAATTTTAGAAGGCAAGTTTGTCTCACAACGAGAACAACTTCAGGAAAAAAGACCTAGTTATTTGATGTTCATTAATTTCTTTTTGGTAGAATGAACTATTATGAAATACTTTGTTGATCTTTGTCGTTTATATATATTCTTTTTTTTTTTTGCTTAATAATTATCTTCAAAAAGATAATTGACAATTTCGTTGTTGTATCTATAATAAGGAGATTGTCTACTCATTCTTTATTAGAAAAAGGATTTAGAAATAGTAGAAAAAAGAACGGAAGTGAGATTAAATTTGACTTCAATTGAGATGGATTAACGATAAGTGAAATATGAAGTGTCTTACTATAAAAATTTACATCAGTGGATTTATCTTAAAATATATATATATATATATATATATATATATTCATAAAGTTAATCTCTAATTGTATTCAATGACTGATTATCAATATGGAAAATTTTTTGCGGAAAGAAATTAGTAGACTGGCGAAAAGAAAATTTTATTATTCAATTAACCAAATGCATTGATCAGTAGGATAGTGATGGATTGCATTATGAGTGTAATGGTCACTCATTTCATCTTCGCTTCTTCTTTTTTTTTTTTTTTGTCATGTCCATCGGATGATGCTCTCATTTTTATCTCTCATGGGAAATCATTTCAATGATGAGAACTAGTATAGAAGATATTATGTCTTTTTGGACAAACGTATATGAAGTGACTAGTCATTCATCACTAAACTTCAAAGGAAGAAGAAAAAAAATAAAAAGATCGTTGATAAGAGAACAGATGCTATTCAATTAGATGAATTTCATTTTGAGGAGTACATTAATTTTAAAAATTCCTTTTTGCATCTCGTCTGCTTCTTTATCCTTGTTAAACAAACCCTAGTATTTTTTTTTATTTATAAAATGCATTTATATAAACTCATTTAACCTTATATCAACGCATCTGCTCAGCAGTTCATCATTGAGATGAACATAATTATTCAAAACGACATTCAATGTCACTTGTATGTGATCACCTAAAGATATAATCTTTTTCTTCGTACTTCTTTTTTTCTTCATTACATTTCTATTGCTACGGAATTGTCGAATATTAAATGCAAATAATATGTTATTATTTTCTCTAATAAACTACCTGATATATTTTTTTCTCATATATGAACAATAGTTCCCTATAGTTCGATCGTATGTGCTTATGATAAGCATCAATGAATAGAGTCGCATTGGGATTAGATTGTAATCATCTACATATTTATCAAAAAAACGAAGAAGAAGAAGAAAAAGAAAGAAAAAACCAAAAAAATTTTATATATAATTTAAATAAAAAGAATCTCCAAATGTGACAGATGTCAATAACTCATTTATATTCGCAACATGATCCTCTGTCCATCTGTAGGGACATTTTTTTTTCTTCTATAATAGAATCTTCTGCACCATGGGTGTTTAGTGAATATGAGCAGGAAAAAAAATCAATTACGATGTGTTACTCCAACAATCCGGATGTGAACTCATTTCTTATCAACATCATCAAAGTCGTTAAGTGCCTTCCTTGACCACCGTCCAATTTAGGGCCGACACGAGCCTTTAAAAAAAAAAAGTAATTCCGCACGCACATACGCAGGCAGTTAGCCGGGTGTGAAATACGAGCTAGTTCATATCCGGCGGCATATTTGTCTACTAAAGAATTTTTAGTTGTTCGATGATTGTCTTGACAAAAGAAGAAAAAAAGCATGTAAGTTAGAATGAGAGTCTTGTACAAAAAGAAAAGAAAAAACAACATAGCCAAGCAAATATTACACATATACGTATACAAGACAACAATAAACAAATGCACGGAGTGAATGAGTGTGTGTGTGTATGTTTTTTTTCTTTGTTTAATATGTTGTACAACGAACACTGTTCAAGACGAATTGCACAAATGGTGACGTATGTATGTATATATATATATATATAGATATATGTATATGTTCATGTCCAGATACTCTCTTATTTCGTACCATAATTGATGTAATAAACCTGAGTAAATTGGGCACAAAATAGACAAGAAAAAAACGAAGTAGAAAAATACGAGAGACTAGAAAGGTGAATGAAATAGAATGGCTATTTATGCATGTATATATAATTGTAAATAAAGAAAAGGAAAACGAAAAAAAAACTTTTATTTGTTTGTTTGTTTGTTTGTTTGGATGTTGCTTGTTGTTTTCTTAATGACGTTGTACCATATAAAGAATAATTAAAAATGAAAATAAGATAATAGATGTTGAAAATTTTTGTATTGTTGCTCTCGATGAACCATCTAGTGGATTTGTTCGTGCCTGATTTGCATCACTCACAATGCTTATTTTTCGAGATTCTTTAACTTCATTATTATTATTTGTTAATCTTGCAATAAAACCACCATTTAATAATATTTGATAATAATTATCACCAAGAATTTTTGTCGCTGGCGTTGTATCTGCTGGTGCATTAGGTGCTTTTGTTGTTGTTGTTAATGGTATGGTGAGTAACTTGTCACGATCAAATGTAACAATACTTTTATATTTACCATGATGTTCATCTTTTACTTCAATAGAAACACCTGCATCTGATGTTACAGGTTTTTCATCAGTTTGTCGAAGCCATAATAATTTTGGTTGAGGATTTCCTGCATAAGAACATTCAATTATTGCTTTGTCTTTCGTGGAATTAACATGTTGTTTTTCATCACATTTAATAAAACGTGGAGTAAATATAACCTCAAGAATTTTGATTGCATGTTTTTCATGATTACCTATTGAATAATGTAAAAAAGAAAATATTTTCTTCTCTTTATATTATTTTTTGTTTTCAAAAACAAACCTTGAATAATTGTACATTTTAATGTTGTATTATGCCATTCATGTGTTGGTGTAACAGTTGCTTCCCAAGAAAATTTTTGTGGAATTGTATTACTATTCGGTATTACAGCTTTACCGTCACCCTCAATTTTATGATGATTGCGAAGAATTTGATGACTAACATATGGATAAAAATCATCAGCTGTACATTTTAATGTTGTTTTAGCATTTTCTTGTATTGGCCATCCAGGATCAATATGCCATTTTGGATCTACTAATTTCATAACGGTAAGGTCTTTTGTTTTCTTTTCTAATTGTTCTTCACAATCAGGACAAGTACATTCATATCGAGATGTATCTTCAAATAAAATTTGTCGTATACGTAAATGATTTTTTTTAACATATTCTAAACGTTTATTTTTATTTTGTTTAAATATATCCAATGAATCATCTGGTGGTGCATTTAATAATGTTCTTGATATTGGTGTACGTTTACCACTTTTTATATCAATATGCCATAATTGTGGTGATTCTGTATGATCATTTGGATTAAGTAATTCACAGAGAACTTCAACCACATGACCCTCTGTATAATATTTTTCATCGGGAGTAAATGTTAATTTTAATGTTGGTTTAGATGATTGTATTGAAGGAATGAGAATAGTTAGAAAGATAATTGATACGGAAAACATTTTTATGTTTGATCTAAGATAAATAATGTTCATTTAGTTTTTTAATTGATCTTACCATTTACTTATGTAAAAAAAACAACAGGGAATCTTCTTTGATAGAAAAGGGCATATGCGCATATATGTACGCATATATACATACATATATATATATATATTATATATATATACACGCATGTACATATATATGGCGGAGTGATGTGAAGCATTTACGGATTAATTTACGGTCGGGTAACTCGTCTGTAGAGCAAAAAAAAATGAATCTATCTATAGTTTTCGCCCCATCGAGTGTATCTAATCTGTGAATCTGTGAAGAAAAAAAATCAATACTCAAATCTTGGCATCCTTCCAAAAATATAAAAAAATGACATTCCATACCAATTGTTATTATTATTATTATTATTGTTGTCGTGATTATTTTAACTAATGTCTGTTGATCGTTTTCCTGATTCCATAATTCAGCATTGTTTTTTACGCACTGCAGTTGTTGTTGTTGTTATAAACAGCAAATAACTCGGATCGTACGAAGATTTTTCTCTCTATATTTCTCTTGCTGTTTCTCTCTCTCTTTCTCTCTCTCTCTCTTGTTCTTCTTCCGACTTCCGCGTAAGTAGTTGAATAGCCAAATGATGGTGATGACGAGAAAGGGAGAGAGCGAGAGAGAGAGAGGGAAGGAGAAGAGAATCCGTTCGTATCTTTTTTTCTCGCTCCATTTTTTTTTCGTCTCTATTCCCCTCCTACCCTCCTTCTTTCTCTCCCTCGCTGTCTTTATGCAATGAGCGCGCATGCACGTTCTCGGTCAAGTGCTTATAGGAAAAGAACTATCCTAACTAAAAGAAAAAGAATGAGAAGAAAAAAAAAAAGGAATATTTCACCATCCGTCAATTCACCGGAAGCACGAAGAAAATGGACACCTGCTTACATTTCTAAATTCAATTGAATTTATAAGGGAAAAAAAGTTCTCTCTTTCTTTTTTCTTTTTTTCTGCTATATATATATTTGTATGTATGTGTATATATATATATGTATGATGCTATTCCAGTCGAATGATTCTGGAAAAACTATTAGTTGTTACTCGAGATATATATTAAGAGTAAGAAGAAAAAACCTAAAGCAAAAGCAGATAGTTCAACTAGCGCAAAAAAGAAAGAAAAGAAAAGAAAAAAGAAAAAAAAACGATATAGCACAACATCGGTCGTCTCATTTTTTTTTAATTTTCCCTTTTCTTGTTCTTCTCATTGTACAGCACGCATATATGTGTGCGCATTCGGCCGTTGTTTGAACAAAGAAGATCCCGTAGAGAGATTGAGTTATGAATGTTCAACACAACTGTATTGATCTAAAAGAAGAAAAAAAAAAAAGAGGAAAGAGATGAATACAAATGAGCATGTGGATGAATGGCATATGTGCTTGTGTACATAAGCTAGACAGATGGGTTTAAAAATTAGTCAATTGCAAATCCCTTTGGTCATCATTGAAATAACTTTCATTTTTTCTGGTCTACTCAACAGAAAAACAAGCAAACAAGCACCTGCTTTTTAATTATATAAAATTTTATTTTGAATAATTTATTCTTTTTTTACTTCTGGTTTCTGTCGTTGACGACTGTTTTTGTTGTCATCGTTGTCGATGGCCAGATATTATTACAGTATTAATAATTTCCTTCGTCGCACATTCAGTCTCATTATTTTATTTAATCAAATACATACAAAAACGACCATCGATTGCACCGGATGCGGGCGCCAGATTGGCATCCATACCGGGCAAAATCCTTAACAAAATATTGACAGGCAAAATGATGACAAAAAAAAAAGCCTCAATCGAAATCATAATTATTTTCCAGTATAGTCATGGTCATTTGCATGATATACAAGAATACTAATGTAGAGACAGAGAGAGAGGGTACATGAAAAACAATTAATCGAAGATATACAGACACATACAGCAGGCGTAATATAACAATTTGTCAGTACTACTTCTAGGCATAATGTTTGTTAATCGTCAGATGTTGTCATTTGTTGTTCAATATTTTGATGAGCTGTTTTCATATGCACATTCTTTTGTGTCTACATGCCTCTCTTCCCTCCTTCTCTTTCCTTTTTTTT